ACTATTCTTGTTTCTTTCTTTCTTTCTTTCTTTCTTTCTTTCTTTCTTTCTTTCTTTCTTTCTTTCTTTCTTTCTTTCTTCCTTCCTTCCTTCCTTCCTTCCTTCCTTCCTTTCTTTCTTTCTTTCTTTCTTTCTTTCTTTCTTTCTTTCTTTCTTTCTTTCTTTCTTTCTTTCTTTCTTTCTTTCTTTCTCCTGTTTAAACCACACTGAGACATCATATCACTCAGTCTTCAGCAGCATATTCATCAGCAACAGAATAAGAACAGGATCCATGACACCACCATTAGGGTGGGCATTGACAAAATGCTTGACAATGCAATAATACCCAAGACGTTTGCAGACTCACGGGAGCTGTGCTTTTGGGTTTTCTTGATTGCCTATGATATATAAATAAGGCAATTATTTATCTCACTTGCCCTGGGAATTCCCCCATTTATATACTGTTGTTCTAAAATAATTTATCAAGTGTCTCAATTGAAGGATAAATTACTTAATCACCCTGTTCATGAAAACCTCCCCACTTCTCATTATCTCATCCTATCTCTAAATTCCCAATTAGTTTAACCTTTATCGTCTAGTATTTGGGATAGATGTCTTCAGATATTTTTTGTTAGTTGCCTCATGGCTTTTGATATAATGCTTTGGGTTTTCTGCTGCCTCTCCAACACACCCTAATCTTGGATGGTGGCTGTGGTTACTGTTTCTTCTAGGATAGTTAGCAGGTGAGCCCTTTAGGGGTTAGAATTTCTGGTGGGCCATACCCAATTAACAACCTTGGCACATTGTGGAAATTGGTAATGACTAGGTGTTGTGTGGATCGTTTGGATCCAGAGCTTGATTTCATTCTGGTTATATTACCCTCTATGCATTCCACTACAGGGATTTTAATGAAGAAGGAAGATGTTATCTTAGAATGGATATTTTTGTATACTGATGCAAATTAAAGCTATTTTGTCATGCTGCATTATACATTTCTATCTCTGGTTAAGATATTTTTGTATATTGTCACAATTTCAAGATTATTGTCTTCATATTGTACATCTGTTTCTATTTTTGCATAAGGTATTACCTCTATAGCTTGTTTATTTTTATAATGTGAAGCTTTAGCCCTTAAACTACATAAGTTAATAAGAATTACATGTTAATAGTCACCTATGTTTGTCAAACTTATAGTCATGTTAGTTAGGTTTTCTAGGTGTGCAGAGATATACTCCAAATAGATAGGTAATCTTCAAACACTTCAAAACCTACAGAATATGACATTTAAAATATTTTAATAACCTAGAATTCTTTTGACATGAGACACGTCTGCTCCTGGCAGCACTGATCTATTCCTGAGAAGATGATGGGGACCGAAGACACTCCATATGGAGTTTGTTTTCTTCTTGGCAAAACTAGTCTATTGGGCAAGACACTGCCCTTGCCTCAACTGCTGACAGTAAGTATGCTGTCCAATCTGAACAAACAGGACACAAAGAAAAGCAACTGCTGAGCTTTGCCAAGACAGGGTAGGACAGTCCCTCAAATTCTCCTGCTTCTGAAAAAAGTCTGTCAGATATTCTAGGCCTGTAAGCCCAAGTTGGATGTCCCAACTTTACAGAGAAAGCTTGGGTAATTGTCCAGGCAGCCAACTGTTTCTGTCATTCCTTGCATTTTTTTTGGAAGTCACTTGCTTGCACTTCACGCTTACTCAGGCAATATTATTTTTCTTCTCAGGTCTTTGATGGGGTTGAAGACTAGATATTTACAGTTACAATCCTCCCAAATCTTCACTAAGGACATATTAGGTACAAAACTCAGATTCTTCAGGAAGAACAGCTATTGGAGTAATCTCTATAAAAATTGCCTATCACCTGTGGATGGTCTGGACATCTAGGATGTATTTCTTTCTTTCTTTCTTTTTTTTGAGACAGGGTTTCTCTCTGTAGTTTTGCACATTTCCTGGAACTTGGAACTCCATCTGTAGTCCAGGCTGGCCTCGAACTCACAGAGATCCGCCTGCCTCTGCCTCCAGAGTACTGGGATTAAAGGCGTGCGCCACCACTGCCCAGCGTATTTCTTTCTTGATAATTGTTCTTATTGTATGTAGTTTCATTCCTTGTTAAGATTATTACCTTTTCTTTCTCTGGACAATACTTCATAATTATTATTTTTGTATATAGTTTTTATTATGTTGGGATTAGAAGCTTCCTATTTATTTTAGACAAAAAGGAGGAAATATTTGTGGGAATTCTGCCATTTGGTCTCATGACCAATGGATTGGAGCGGGTTGGCCCAATGATTGTGGCCTTCTCTGAAGATACATGCTCCTTTAAGAATCCATGGGGAAGGGTCCCACTGCCCCTTGGACTGTGGAAGGCTTCCTGATGCCATGGCTCAGTGACCTTGTCCAGACCTTCCCCATCTCTCCCTGGTGGATGAAGAGGCAGAGGCACAGCTTTGTTCTGTATTTGTGAGTGCCTTGTATTCATTTCATCCTTTATAAATCTGCCCTTATCCAAGACTTTTGTAGCTTGCCTTGATAGCTGGGGGGAAACTCAGGATGTAATGCTGAACAGATGAGGAACGGCAGAAAACTGTTCCTGTGTGTGGCACTGTCCCTAATAGTAATGGCTGGAGGTACAGCCATTTGAACTGAAACAGTTCCTGCCACTGCAGGAGACTATGAAACAAATGGTGTGTGTGTTCTTACTTATAATCCTTAGTACATACAAAACTGTGTCATATTTTACACTAAAAATATAAACATTGCAAGACGAAAGTGATGGTGTGAGTTCTCCTTTGCTTTAAGGAGTAGTGTCCAGAATGTTCTAGAATGGCTCCCCCAACTCTTTATTAGAGGGCTTTAGTAACAAGTCCCTCTACCTTTCCTCACTTACACACAGAAATAAACTCTGAGAGACACATTCTCCTAGCTTCTTTACAGAGCAACCACAATCAAGGTATTCTTTGGAGAACCCAAGAAAATTTGGGGGCTTATGAGTCCCTGGAATCAATGACCAGATCTCTGTTCAGCGATATTTCCTTTGTATATTTTAAACATAGATTATATTGTCTAATCTAGATAGAAAACAGTCCTGGGGATGACAGTATTGTATTAATATTAATAGTTCTGACTAACTTGACCCAACAGTGTATTCCCATGACATTTCCTGTCTTGTCTAAGGCAGTCAACATAATGTGAAAAGAAGCTGAGTTTTCAAGTTGGTCTGACCTGGGTTTGCATCTTTAATTCCCTACTTGATGAGCTCTGAGTCTCTAGATAATTTTTTTAAGCCTCTACCCCATGATTCTGCTTTTTTTAAATAATCACAGCTTTTCATTGGTTATTGAAAATACTTGAGTGTGGTGATATATTGTGTACCCTAATAAAATTTGCCTGAAGATCAGAGAACAGAACAAGCCACTAGATTAAATACAGAGGTCAGACAGTGGTGGCACACACTTTTAATCCTAGCACTTGGGAGGCAGAGATCCATCTGGATCTCTGTGAGTTCAAAGCCACCCTGAACTACATGAGATTGATTTAGTCTAGGAGAGAAACAGAGCCAGACAGTGGTAGTACACACCTTTAATCCCAGCACTAAGAAGGAAGTGATGGCTGGGTGGAGAAAGGTATATATGGTGTGAGGAGACAGGAACTTTTCAGGCTGAGGAGTCCTAGAGGTGAGACATGGCAGTGGCTTGTTCCTTTGTCTCTCTGATCTTCAGGCAAATTTTGTTAGGGTACACAATATATCATCACACTTAAGGTTTTTTTTTTTTCCTCCCTGTGATGCCTGATCTATAAAAAGTCCTCAGATTGATAGGCAAATGGGTGGCTCCAGTGACTGGGAACACAGAGATTGACAAGTGACTTAGCTTTCAGTGGACTTTCTCTGAACACAGGGGCATACTCAGTCCAGAGGGTGTCAGCCTTAGTTCCCAGAGCCAGGTGGAGAAGGGGGACCAGCAGGCAGAGCAGTCCGTTGGTGCTTTTGTCTTGGTTGCTGCTGCATGCTGCTGCCATCCTATGGGTGGCCTTGCTCAGCCATGGGTGTCTGTCTGTCTGTCTGCTGTTGAGAAATACTCTTGAGGGGTTGGGCTCCTGTCAGCGCTGTGGGAATTCTTGGCTGGGCCTGGCCAGAGTTCTTCAGGACACGTAGGTGGCTTCAGGACTCCAGGGTGGCTCAGTTTACAGGGCTTCCGGTCTCTCCATTTCCTTTCAAATGTGGGCTGATCTTGAGACTGTGGCACCTACCAAAGATGAAGTGTCTCCCATCCCATCTCACGTGTTACCCTTTCATATCATTCTTATCTTTTTCTCCTGCCTTCTCTTGCTCAGGGCAGATGCCTCAGCCCCTGATCTTCAGGAACAGAGGCTGTGCACTCTGTCTTTCCTATTTGGAGATTCTGGGTGCTTACACAGGCCAGTGAGCTCCTCCCTGTGAGACTTCAGTGTGGGGGAACCTTTCTCCCCTGTGGGAAGGGACCAGTGGAATTGGCTCTATACCACTCACATGAATTCTCACAGAACACAGTTCAGTTCCGTGGGGGCTTTCTTTCTAGGTCTCCCCTAAAGCCAAGACTTCTTTAAAATGAAGACAAGAGAAAGCAAAACAATGCAAATAAAATCCCTCTGCCTCATTAGTCTCCATCACTGGAATTGCAGTATTGCGTATATTCTAAACCAAAGATGACAGTGAATACATTATTTTATGTTCTGGTATGGAAAATATAGAAATAGGAAACCAACCAGCCAATCAAGTAAAAACAGACAATTCAGCAACAGCAACACCACACACACACACACACACACACACACACACACACACACACACACACACACACACACATCAAAACAAAACACCCCCCCCCAGCAAAAAAAAAAAAAAAAAAAAAAAAAAAAACCAACCCAGACCTTTTCCAGTTAAGCTTCAAAGTTTCATTTATCAACTATCCCAATTTCCAGGAAGTTAAAAACTGAAAACAATACAGAATCCAAACCAGTAAAATCAAACCTGAGTTTTGGAGCTGATGACTTTCCCATCAGTAGGATTTAAAGAGCCGCCTTCAGTTAGCGGTCAGGAGAGTAACCAGACCTGGTGCCTCCTGCAGATCCAGAGGGGGGTGAAAAGGTCTGCTCTAAGGAGGCAGGAGGGGGGAGAATGAGGGGCTCTACTGGGTCTGCATTAAATCCAAGCATGGTAAATTCATGAGTGAAAAAGTCACTGCTTGAAGTCTTTTGTTTCAGTCTTGGAATATATACATATATTTCTCCCTTCTCTCCATCTGGATTTTGTTAAAAAAAAAAAAAAAACCTCAGGTCAGGCCAGCTCAGGGGGGGAAAAAGCCAGCTCTACAGTGCGGCTACCTTCTCCAGGATGACATCATGTCTCCGCTGTTTTTCTTTCTGAAGCTGAGTTTCAGATGCTGAAGTCACACCCTCCTCCCTCCGCTCTGCTTTCCGCTCTCACAAGCCCAACCTGCTGGCGTTTCATTGTTTTTACGACTGAACCGCAGCGCCAGACACAGAATTACTAACCTGGCACGGGGAAAACAGCTCAGGATGAGAATTCAAACCTATAATTCTGAACTCTGAAGAGATTTGGGCCTATTTCTTTACCAGCTGCGGCCTACAACTTACTGTTAACTTTCTGCCGGTCTCCTGTGTATAAGAGGCTATATTTTATAAAATGACTGAGTCTGTTCAAAAGAATCCCTTAATTTTTAAGGCATATACATACAAGCATGACAAGTTAGAAAATCATTTGCATGAATTTACCTTCTGAAATCATGAAATAAGCAGTGGAATAATTTTAAAAGTTCAAAGATGGTGGAGATGTTCACCAGGAATGGAATGATGCTTGCTCTTTTTTACTGGAGATGATAGGAAGGTTCCAAGATCATTTTGGCTATAAATAATTATTTTCAAATCTTATTGCAAGACCAATCACATTGTTATTAAGACTTAGCTTGAAAGTTTTAAGAGTTGGGGTTGGGGAAATGGTTTACTCAGGTCTGGATTCTCTGATCCCCATGTCAAACTCTGGGCACGGCAGCCCCCCTTATAATCCCAGTGCTGGAGAGGTGGGGACTGAGTGATTGCTGGGGCTAATGGCCAACCAGTCCAACTGAATTGATGAGTTCTAATAAGAGGTCCGTGGCCTCCACATGCCTGCACACACATGTACACACTCATGCGGACACACACAAATATGTACATACATATACCACACATAAATTTAGAGAATTTATAGTGAATCTATAATTGAAATGTCGCTCAACTTATTGTTACTATTATCTAAATAATCACAGCTCCTGCACTTTTTTTTTCAAGGCAGTTTTCAGTGGGAAAAAAAAATCACGTCAGTTAGTTTTACACTGTTTCATTTCAATAGAACCATGGCGATGGATGTGTGAGGTTGTCATCTACCACGCCTCTCACAACCCTAAGACTCCCATGGTAGGAAGCTGTGGAAAAGGAGAAAATTAATAATAGAAAATGACAGACTTGCTGATCTGGGAATTGAAGAGCATGTACAAGAGGGGCTTTCTGGGCACAATGGCTGACAAGAAGCTGCCTCCCTCCAGCTGGGTGAAGGAGAGTCAGAAAAAGCAGAAGAGTCTCCTCCGAAGAAAGGGAGGAAGAGCTTCTGAACCCACGGAGGCAGGGTACGACACCTGGAAATGCAGAGAAAAGTGGGTGAAACACTGAGGAGAAGCTGAATTGGACTCTGCTTCAACTCAGGGGAGCAGAAGATGCCTCCTAAAAGCCAGCCAGGTAGCCCTGGTGAGGACAGACCAGCAGATGTTCAACGTGTTAAGAGAAAAAGGCCATCATGAAGTAACTTAGCAGTAGAAACGTGAGTACAGCAAATCACAAGCCGGCTAGATCAAAGGAGGGAACCATTTGAATGTTTTTAATGTGTTCTGAAGATCTATTTCTATAACTATTTTATAAACTTGGAGATACAAAATTCTATATTCAAGCCGGGCGGTGGTGGCACACGCCTTTAATCCCAGCACTTGGGAGGCAGAGCCAGGTGGATCTCTGTGAGTCTGAGGCCAGCCTGGACTACCAAGTGAGTTCCAGGAAAGGCGCAAAGCTACACAGAGAAACCCTGTCTCGAAAAACCAAAAAAAAAAAAAAAAATTCTATATTCAATCATGACAAAATGGAGTGAGAACTAAAGATAAATGGATGTTGTCTTCATATGTTTGAGAACAGCTTTCACAAACTAATGCTGGCATCATACTTAATGGTAAATGCTAAAGGCTTCTTTTCCAAGGCTGAAGAAAATAAGAATGCAGCTTTCACTGCTTTTTTAGTAACCCTGCCCCTCATGTGCACTGTTGTAGTCCTGCTACTCGGGAAACTGAGGCAGGAAGAGTATGGGTTCCCTGACATGACATTTTGTCACGAAGGAGCCCTATAGCGTACAAATCTCCTTTTGTCTCTTCTTATTAACCGTCCACACAGTTGTGTGTTATTGGTCATTTATTCTTTCTCATTGCTGTGTGACACTCCATCGCATGACTTTACTCAACTTATTTTTATATTCTGCTCTTGGTAGAAATTTGAGTCGCTTTCAGTTCTGAGGTATGCCTGTGTGCTTCCATTTCTCTTCGTCCAGAGTGAGATTGCTAGGTTACAGGGTAGACGGATGTTTAGATTAATTGGAAAGGAACAAGCATCCTTCCAAAAGGATTTCACCCGAAGAAGTGGTTAATCTTCATTGCCGACTAGACTGGTCAGATTCACTCAGGAGACTGGTAAGGTCCACCTCTGGGTGTGTCTGGGGACATTTCCAGAAAGGGTAATGTAGACCTGCCAGAGTGTGGGTGCCACCATCCCACAGGCTACGAGCACGTATGAAGTATAATGTGACTAAGAAAACCTTCCAAAAACTGCTGTTCCCCTTTCATCAGCTTGGTGGCAGAGCATGATGTGAGTAGCTGAGCTCCATCCTGCCTTCCAAGCTGTGGGGGACTGAACCCTTTAAAACGGTGATCAGAAGAAGTCTTTCCTTCCTTCCGTCGTATCTGTGAGACATTTTGTCACAGCAGTAAGAAAGTAACTAATACACTGTCTTTTATTCCCACCAACACGGTGTGAACCCCGCTGCTACCATGTTCATCCTCTTTCTTTTGACTTTAGTCATTCTTCGGGTGTGAATTTGTATCTCCCTGTTGTTTTAATTTCATTTCCTGATGTATGTTGGCCACACATGTGCACAGAACCACACTCAGACATGCACATATACTCACACTTAAAAAATAAATTCTCTTTTAAAAAAATGAGTTGCACTGGAAACTTTGTCAAAAATCAAGACCTTGTCTTGAGTCTATTTTCATACTCTATGCTGTTCATTGGTGTTTCTGTCTTTTTTTTTTTTTAACAGTACTATACTACATTGCCATATTTCGATTTGGTAGTCAGTATTATAACTTGTTGTGGGATATCTGTATACTGTGTGAAGATGTATTGATGTGATTGGTGTAATAAAAAGCTGAATGACCAATAGCTAGGCAGGAGGTAGAGGTGGGACTTCAAGGCAGAGAGAGAACTCTGGGAAGAAGAAAAGGGAGTCACCAGAGAGACAGGAAGAGGAAACAGGAGGTGCAAGATGGAAGAGAGGTAACACCATGTGGCAGAATGTAGATTAATATGAATGGGTTAATTTAAGTTATAAGAGCTAGTTGGAAACAAGCCTAAGCTAAAGGCCAAGCTTTCATAATTAGTAAGTTTCCATGCTGTTATTTGCAGTCTGGTGGTCTGGACGAGAAAGTACTATTACAGCTCCTCTCCAGGGTTGGGTTTCTTCAAGTGTTTCTCAGTTATGTTAGCCCACTACCCAGTTTGTACGTATCTCCTAATCAAACCTGTTGAGGGTTTTCACTGGGGCTATGCTGACCTTCTGGAGTAATACGGGCAGGACCGAGGAGCTAATAACATAGAACCTTCCAAATACATAAATGTGGTAATGTCTCCATCTGTTTAGATCATTGACTTTATTCCATAATATATTATAATTTGTGTGTGTATGTGTGTGTGTGCAGGTGGTATGTGTGTGTTGTACTCACCTGTGCATGTATGTGGAAGCCAAATGTCGGCATCCCAGGTGTACATCTGTGGAGGCTCCAGGTTGATGTTGGGTGTCTTCAACAATTGCTTCTCACCTTATTTTCTGAGACAGGGTCTCGAGCTGAAGCTAAGGTTGTGGCCAGCCCAGCTGGCCAGTGAACTCCAGGTATCCACACATTTCCACTCTTTAGCCCTGAACTTACAGATGTACACCATAGTGCTTGCTGGGAATCTGAACTCAGAACACCATGCTAGTACAGCAGGAATTTCACCCGGTGAGCCATGATCCCAGCCCCGCCATATTTTATAGTTTTTGTTTAAATGATCTTATGTAGTTTTTAACCCAGGTTTTTGCAAGTTTTGATGCTCTTATGAATTATGTTTTTTTTTTTTGGTTTTTTCGAGACAGGGTTTCTCTGTGATGAATTATGTTTTTAAGATACATTTCTTAGTCATTGCTGTTAGTGTTTAGAAATGATTCTGATTTTTTTTTGTCTTTTGTTCTCATACTCAACAGTTTTAGCAAAAATTAGTATGTTACTGCCATTTGCTCATACCTTTTTTGGGGAATGGAGGAAGGGGGATTTCCATACTCAGAACCATGTCTAAAGAGTATATCTTCTGCTTTACCAATGTTTAGAAGCTTCCCCCTTGCTTTATTTAATTAATTAGGACTACCAGTCCAATGGCCAGTAGAAACAGCAATGGTGAGGACTGACTTGCTTACAGGGTTTAATCTGTTGAGTTGTAGTGTTGTGTGGCAGATATTCTTGTCAGGTCAAGGACGTTGCTGCCATGTCTAATACTCCAAGAATTTTTTTTTTTAATTAATGAAAGAGTATTTTATGAAATCATTATTTTCTGTGTCTAATGATAAGATTTATTTTTCTGGTTCTTTAAATGTGGTAAATTTAAATAGATTCTAAGCCAACTTCTCATTTCTTGGTCATGATATATTAGCTTTTACATGTCGTTCTGGGTTCAATTTAGAACATTTTTCTTAGAAGTTTTACGTCTGTGTTGGTGATGGATGTTAGCCTATGACTTTTCTCTCGATGACTTTGTCATATTTTGGTGTCAGTGTTACGTTTGAATACAAGAGTGAGTAGAAGTATTCTCCTTTGTTCTGTTTTCTGAAAGAGTTTGTGCAGGGCTGGTCTTATTTCTGTTTTGCCTCTCCCTGCCTTTCCCCTCCCCTTCTTTCTCGGACAGGATCTCTCTA